CCGGCCCGCGCCCCTCCCCCGCCCCGCCGCGCGGTCGCCGCGTCGCCTGCTTTCTTCCTCTGCGCGCTTCCCCTCTCTTGACCCCCCTGTTAAAAACAAATCCCCCATGGCTCCGAAAGAGCGTCTCGCCTCGGTGCGGCGAGAGACCTTTGAATGGAGTGAGTGATGTACGAGAACGGTGGCGGCCGGGACACCGAGGTCCACGAGGTCCGGGGGACCGCACCGAGCGGTCCCTGTCACCCTCGTTTCCCTGGCGCTCCTGTCACCCACGTTTCCCTCGTGTCCCTGGTGTCCTCCGTTTGGGGACAGCGAGGGTGTCAGAAACAAGTGGGACCCTTTTTCTGCGCTGAAGTCCAAGTGGACATGGTGCTATCATTGCTGGACAGATTGTGACCCGCGCGCCTCGGTGCACGCTCCCTTGACCTTGTGCGGTGCTGCTGTTCGCTCTCTGTCCCCTGCAGGAATTTCCCCAGCAGATCCCCGAGATACTACACCCGGCCAGCTTGGCCATCCTCGCTTTTCTTTTCTGTGGGTGCTGCAGTCAGCTCCTGGGCTGGTGACTATTTGCTTTAGATGTGTTTCATCTATTTTCTTTCGTAAATGAGTTCTCCTTTCACCTCCCAGACAGGCAGGACCGACTCCAGTGCGAGAATGGCTGTGACTTTGGAGGAAGCGCCTCGGCTGGGCTGGATCCTGGTGAAAGCCCTGCTGAGATTCACCTTCATGGTCGCCAACAACCTGGTTGCCATTCCATCCTACATCTGCTATTTAATTCTGCTGCAGCCCCTTCGCGTGCTGGACAGTAAGCGGTTCTGGTGTATCGAAGGGATCATGTACAAGTGGCTCTTGGGAATGGTGGCTTCCTGGGGCTGGCATGCAGGATACACAGGTAGGAGCTAGAGCACTTTTGTTTAATGCGTATAAAAAAAATGTGCCTAAGTCAGGAGCCATGATTAAGTATATCTGCTTTGAGCTGAAGATGCTGTTATGCTTACACGGTTGAAAAAAATAAATAGAAAGTCTTGTTGGGTTTCCTGTCAGATTGTCACAGGGAAGCTCAAGCTATATTAAGCTTACAAAATATAGCTCAAGCTATACTTTGTAGTTATCGTGTTAATTACAAAAGATACTCTTTTGTAATTAAAATTGATAAATTCCTTAAATAATGTTTTTAATGTGATTGATGTTTATTTATTAGACCCAGGCTACAAAAGCTCTCAAAGAGTAATAGGAGTTCTTTCTATAGAACTTCAGGGCATATAAAGTGAAGATGTAAGGTATTTGGCTTAAAAACACTGGGAATGTAGACAAGTGACTGAATAGTATTTGGGCTACAAGAGTTTAATAAGTTTTTCATTTAATCTAATTGTGTACTGCTAACAGTATAAAACAGACCAAAAAAGGCTCTCTGTTCATTCTGTTTTTTAGAATCTATATTTTATCTCACAAAAGTATTACATTTTAAAAAATTAAATTATCTATATTAAGCTAATTTATCTCTTGAGTGTCTTTGCATTTCAGTTTCTGCTTTTAAGTAGCATTTGGGGAGGAGGAGTAACTGTTCTGAATTAGACTTTTACGGAACTAAATGAGAAGTGTTTATTTTCTGCTTTTAAACCTTATGTACTTTGAGTACTTATGCTCCTCATGTGAAAATGCAGCATCTTTTATTACATTCAGTGGAGTCTTTTTCCTCTAAGAATTGGGATAGTGAAGAACACCTTGATGTTCTTAGCGCTTGGCAGATGTGGAGGCTTTAACACAGAGATGGTTAGACTGTGGGCAGCAGGTTCTGGGACCCTGACGGGTACACACTCTAAGTGGCAAGCAGCGAGGCAGTTCTCCATTTTAAATCCTGTCTCCCTCTCTTCTGCCCAGGCTGCATTTGCAGGTTTTATCCATGCCCAGGAGGAAGGACTTACCGTACACAGCTTTCCTGGAGCCTGGTGGATGCTGGCTCTGTCAGAATGCTCTGACTCTTTTCTTTTATGCTATTGATTATACACCGAGGACACAGGGACTCCTGGTATACTTGTTCTGAATCTTGTAGGGATTTCAGTGCTTTTCAATAAAGTAGGTAAGCTTCTAGTTCTTTTTTTAGGACCTGGTGATAGCAACAGCAGTGGTAGAGGAAAGAAATGGAAGTTGTAATTGGTGATGCCGAATTTTGTTACCTGAATTGTGCTGCTGTCTTGGAATGGCTTTGCTTGATATAGCTTGGGTTTTCCCAAATGTGCTGTGATACTGGTGGCTTTATTCTTTGTAAAGTTTGCTTGTTTAAAATGAGCTATATTCTTTTTTTTTTTTTTTTTTTTTTTTTTTTTTTTTTGTGGAACTGGGAATTGAACTCAGGCCCTTGCGCTTGCCAGGGAAACGCTTATTCCGCTGAGCCATCTCCCCGACCCCTAAAATGAGCTATATTCTTTAGAAACAGATTTTTAGAAGTCTGGCCCAGTTAAAGTGAAATTACTGAAATGTTTGTGTTCATATGTGTATAAAATATTTATGTCAGCATGATAGGAAAGTGAAAAAAATAATTTGTCATTGACCTTGAAATTATAAGGACTGCAGTGTTGCTGCTTGAAGTTAGTCATCCTGTGGCTATAGCACAGCTGCAATGTTTATTTGAACGTTTTCTTGAGGTAGCTCTTTCTTAGGGTAGTATGTATGTTTTAAATGATTTTCTCATAGGTAGAACACTTGATTTCAGAGGATATGATCACAGACTGATCATAACAGAATAGAGTCAGGAGGTCAAACAAATGGAATGGATTTTGTTGAAAGCCACAACTGGATTTGAAGCAGCAGATCTCAACAGGAGTTGATGAGCAGGTATATCCATAGAAAGTGTTGGGCTAGATGAACCTTTCTTTGGGTTATGTGTTTCATTTCTTCCCTTTGGATCAAGAAGACTGTGTTCTTCTTACCTTTCCTGCCTTTACCTATTACGAGTGTCACAGATTGAAAATTGAACATTCCTAAAAGAGTTCTGCTCTGCAGATCTGGTACGTTCACGCTTTACAATAACAATTGCCGAAATTTTGTTGAGAAACCACTTTTAAGGAAGACTTAAAGCTGAATATTGAATATGAACAGTAACTTTTCAAATTGTAACATTCAGTGTAGGACAAGTCAGTCTGCTGATGAGGATTGGTGGTTATTTCACCTGCACTGCCCCATGTGAAAGTGGCTAGCTGCATGTGACTGTGTACATTTAGGTGAATTTAAATATGAAATGGAAATTCAGCTCCGTCACACAAGTGGCATTCAAATGCTCAGTACCAGGTGGCTTAGTGACCACTGGATTAGTGCAGCTAGAGAAAACTTTCATCATCGTGAAGTTCTGTTGGTCAGAACTAATAAGTAGTAATTTATGCTTTCTCCATTTTAGAAAAATGGTGTTTTATCTTTGCAAAAGGAACATTTTTTTCTAGTTTTAAACAAATTTCCATCCTCGGTTTAAGTCCTAGCATCTCAAGTAACTAGATGTCTTTTGGGGAAATAAGAACATCTGTTAAAGTTTGTGAATTTGCCTTTAATTTGAGTCAGACATCACAAAAATCAGTGCCTTAGCCTTGTGTGGTGGTGTACACCTGTAATTCTAGCTCTGCAGCAGGCTGAGCTAGGAGATCATAAGTTCAAGGCCACCATGGCAACTTAGGACCTTTTCTCAAAAAGAAAAAAGGCATGGACTGGAGCTGTTGCTCAGTGATGATGAGCTCAGTCCCCAAGACTGGAAGAAAAAGTCCTTTAAAAGCAGACATGGTGAGCTGAGGAGATAGCTCAGAGGCATAAGCACCTGCCAGGCAAATGCAAGGACCTAGGTCAATCCCCAGCCCCGCACGCTGTGCTGGCCCCAGAACTGGGTGTGGTAGTGCACACCTGTAATCCCAGCACTAGGGAGACTAAGACAGGAGAATTGGGGCCAGTTCAAGAACAGCCTGAAGTCTACAAAAGTGAGCATAGGGCCAGCTCGAACTGCATAGCAAGACCCTGTATCAAAAAAGAAAACAAAAAAACCCCAGACATAGTTCTTTAATGTGGAATGGTGAACCAGCAAGCAAAAGAAGCTCAGTGAACATTCCAATACTTGGTATGCATTCTCAGCTGGAGAATTCCTAAGGATGCCAAAGAGAGAGAGAGAAGAGGGATTTTCTGCTCTTTATGCGTGTTTCTGAGTTTATCTTTTTCAAAGTTACATATTTCTTGAACATACTTTGAAGGCAGTGGGATTTGTTCACCTTTAATTTGCTCCTTGTATTTAAGGTAGCATGATGGTAACTTTTCTTTTTGCAGAAGTGCTTTCTGGACAGCTCATGTCAGGGATGAGTTTTGTATTACCTTTGTCCTTATATTTTAAAAGAGCAAACCAGAAGATACAGCAAGTAAATAATTCACTTTTGCTGCTTCCTCTATATGTAGGGGACTTTCAGAGAGATTTTTCAGGCAAAAAAAAAACCTTTTTAAGCAAGTACTTATTCTATTGAGCTATCTTCCTACCCCCCCTTTATTTTAAATGTTTATTTTGATTTTCACTTATTCTAATGAGATTATATCATCCAAACACATTTAATTAGCCTCTGTACCTGTAATAGTTTGAGGTATTCAGTGTAAATGGGTGCTCTAGAATTTCCATATAGAGTGAGAGTCTGGGTCCCAAGTCTGGCTGGCAGGTAGTTAGGCTGCCCAGGGACTTGTCACCAAGCTGTCTTGCTCAGCAAATGCTGTTTTCCTTGGATTTACTTGGGGTGGCTTTGGGGACAGCTGATGACAGACTGAGTTTAGCTTCCCCTCGCCCCCAGCTGCTGTGGCTCTGTTCATTTTTGTCAGCTATTTTATTATTTGATAGTCTGCTTTTTTTGTTGCTGTTGGGATGCAGATTTGTTGTATAAGAAAAATATTTAGGAATTAAATGTGACCTTGAAATTTGTGTGTGTGTGCGTGCGCGCGCACCCATGCATGTCTGCATGCATGTGTGTACTAGGGCTTGAACTCAAGGTCTCATGCATGCTAGGCAGCATTTTACGATTGAACTATACAGTTCTAGCTCCTGACCTTGAAACCTTAGAGAAAATTTTAAAAATGTATATCTAGAGGAGTATTTTAACGTTTGAGTCGTAGAACCAGTTTAGTGTGTCAAGATGAGCATTTCTAAAAAGTGAGATTGCCTGGAACATGATGGTCCATGCCTATAATCCCAGTTTATTTAGGAGGCTGAGGCAGGAGGAGTTCAAGGCTATTCTGGGCAGTATAGAAGATTTATTTTTTTAAAAAAAGTGAAATGGAATAGAATTAAGTAGAAAAGATCAGAAATTATGAATCTGTACTGAGTGTTGCTACAAAATATGCTTTTTACTAGGAGTGTGTCAACATTTGAAAGGCATCATTTTAGTGGAAAGGGCAGGCAACTGGGAGAACTCTTGAGGGCTAGCTGAGTTGATCAAGCTGTAACTCAAATTTATTGACTCCTTGTGGGGGGTGAGATGTGTATGTACTCCGTGCCACTGGGTCTTCTCTCTAACTTGTGACCTGATTCGTTGCTTGATGCCTGCGGAGTGCTCAGAAGTTCTTTTTTGTTTGCTTGTGGTGCCAGGGCTGAACATAGGGTCTCACATAAGTGTTTTAGCACTGAGCTACACTGTTGGCCCAGGTGTCTCCATCTTGAATGATCCTTTCTTTCTTGAGTCTAAGCTACTTACCTTCCTAAAAGGTCAGCCCATAAACCCTGAACCAAATCTTATAAAATACATACTTGTTAGTCAACCCCAACTCTTCCATTGAACTTCTGTTACTTTTGGAGACAGCTAATGGAAGCAATGAGATGCACAGGCACCATTGCTGACTGTAAGCAGTTCATGGCGCAGCATACCAGCCTTGATACACCAAGTA